AGGAGGATAAGTTTGTCTCTGAGAGATGTTCCTCAGTGGGACTGCTTGCTGCGCTTCAAGTCCAACGACAGACAAGAACTCGTCCGTCGTCGATCGTTTGTCGGTGCTTGTCGGCGAATGTCGCGGGTGTTGGTCGTTGCAGTGGGACAGCCTCGGCGACACGGAACTTTGTGGTGTCGCCGGACAAAAAACGGTGTTTGTCGCTCTAGTGGGACGAAGCTATGATGGACTACGGTAGCTCTTCAGATAAGATTTTGTGGAAACATTGCCTTTTCTTATGTTTTAGCGTGTCTTTGTGCTGTGCCCTGCATTACACCGCTTGTCTCTAAAATGAAATAATAGAACCATTCCAATCGTTGCATTGTTCACCACAGCATGCTTAACATACCAGGTGTTTTTTTTTTATTTGCACCATATTTTCAAATAAAGAGCAGCAATATGTTGGTGGGACTGCCCCAAAAGAGCTAGGAAAGGTGCCGAGATTAGTTCTTATTTGCTTCAAGCCTGCCCAGCAGTCCAGGAACAAGGATAAGTTGTGTGAAGAACGAGAACCAACCCACAATCGCCGCCTCTGTGGGAAGCAGAGACAAGTGATTTGATAGACCTGCTATTGCAAAATTATTGATTATTATTTCATCACACATGGATGCTACAAACTACTGGGATTGCTTTTTGAGCGGCTTCACATTAAAACTACAACGGCTCCTAAATCATGTAGTCACAATGGTAGCACTGCTACTCTGCAGGCCTACAAGTACCTGTTAGTTTATAGGGTATATGAGGTATGGGTATGAGGTCAGACAGAAGCGTCTGACCGGACATAGTGAGTCGGGAGTGGCCTCCAGTTACAACAGTCGATAACCCTGTACCTGCAGTTTACCCTGAGCCAATGCTCAGGGTAAACTGCAGGTACAGGGTTATTGACTGTTGTAATTGGAGGCCAGTACGGGTAAATTGCAGGTACAGGGTTATTGACTGTTGTAACTGGAGGCCACTGCCGACTCACTATGCCAGGTCAGACGCTTCTGTCGCGTCCGATGGATTGTGCAGCCCTTGGTTGCCATAGCACCTGATATTAGCACTCTTTTGCAGGCGGTCGTAGCGCAGGCGGTCGTAGCGCTAAACCAGAATTTAGCCTTCATGCTACAGCACCTACACAGTATACATTGCTAGAAGGCAAATTTGGGGGTTTTACGTGCCAAACGAACGACGGGCATCTGGCACGCCCCAGCGGAGGACTGAGGATTATTTTGGACCACCTACGGATCTTTTTGACGTGCAACCGAAAGCTCGGTCACACGGTGCCTTCTCCGCAATAAGCCTCCGTCAGATTGCGGGCATCTCGGCCGGGATTCGAACCCGCCACATGGGGATCCGTAGGCCAGCGCTCTTGCCCCGGAGACACCGAGGCGGCGTATACATTGCTGCATGCCACACCATTCCCTCAACATATAATATTAAGGGGACTCCAACCTATGCTAGAAACAATGCATGACAGTAACTTTTGGTATTATGGGACGCCACGGCTCTTGCCCATGCCCCATCGCTTTTGTACAGCGCTCTTATACGTCTCCTTTCCGGGTGCTGAATTACAACCCAAGGTACAGACTGTATGGTTCAAATCGCTAGCCAGCTTTTAACTGGCTCGTGCTGGTGCTGGTGGCCTGTAACGTTGGCTCTGGTCCAGTGTAGTGTGAGGCAAAGCATAGCTGGGTGCACTATTTTGAAAAAGTTAGGTTGGTATACAGTATGCAGGCCACAGATTGTGCAGTTAGGATGCTCGGGTCAAGCTGCAGCCGGGATTGAGTTGTGTTAGGAGAAATTTTGTTGTGGCGTGATATCGACGTGTTGTCTTCGCTGTTTTGTCATACACAGGTGCCACTAGTTGATGAGATTGCAGATGATGCCGAGGTGGTTGTCTCGTGGGACCAGGTCAACGACAATGACGATATGCCTCACGAGGACTGCACCATGCCTGGAAGTGGCAATGAATCTGCGCTGGCTCATTCCCCAGGCTCGCAGAGTGTGGGCCTGACTGATGGTGCAAGCCCCAGCAGCAGCTACTTAACCACTAGTGGCAGCAGTGGCAGCAGCGGTACAAGTACTAGCTTTGCCACGAGGAAAAACAAAAGCCGCAAGCGGCCAGCTGCCTCCCTTATGCAGCAGCTCCTCACCATGCATTCCGAAGAGACAGAACGAGCTGCAAAAATGGAGAAAAAAAGGCTGAAGAGGCAGAAGGAGCTGCTGTGGCTGCAAAAAGAGTCAAACGATATGCAGGCTAGCATGCTTCGAATGATGGAAGCATACTTTGAATCGAAAAAAAAATAAAAAGTAGGGCTATGTTGCCAAAGGGTCACAAGACGAGCTAAACTTTTGGGACTATAACGAATGGGATTTCTGATGCTAAAGCTTGCGCCCACTCGCATGCACCACTTGTTAAAGCTTGCGGTTGGTGCGCAGCCGTCAGGAGCAGACGAATGCTCATGATTGTAGCGCCTTTTGCTGTTCCTGCAGACTTGGGGAAAACTGGGATAACGAAAATATCCTTGTTTTTTTAAGGTTATGGCAATGACTCAATTTGATGGATGAAAGGTGTACAAACATTCTTGTGGGAAAGCTGGGTGGCTATGAAGTTCTCATTACTCATGGAACATCAGGTTCTCTGATGGCAATACACGAGGGATGCATTAATAGCAGCTACTGAGTGTTTGTTTGGTCCACAGGCTGACATATTTAGCACGGATGAACAACACTCTTCCACATGAGGCCACAACGTAACTGCACTCAATGGGTCGTCTCCATTGTATCTTGACAAGAATGTCGTTAAAACTGGTCGTAGAATCAGTGAAACGCACCTTAAAAAAATATTTGTCGTTTGTCGTATCAAGTGCACCTTGACTGTAGTGCAAGAGCAGGTCAGCAGTTGTAGGAACCCATCTTGACAGTGGTCTGCCCTGCTGACGCAATTCTTTACATTGATTCGTTTGTAATAAACTTTCTCTTGAATCGAGACGCCCCTGGCGCCTTGATTCAGTGAGAAGATTCCACGAAATGAATTCTGGATACCAGTTAGCACCTTAGTTTCGGTTTCAGTTTCAGATATTTGCCATAATTATTGTGTCCAGACGAAACTTGCTGCTTGTGTTTTCGCGGCTGAGGCATTTTGCACGAGTGCAATACTGTATGCGTTTCCAAACAATTTCAAAAAGCGCTGGCCACTGCATTACTGGTTCCCAGCTTGCCAGATTTTGGGCAAAAGTAAGCAAACTTAAAACACTGAAGTACAAGCATCCCGGCTTGCCGGCCTTGGTCAGTCATAACGACGGACAGACATTCAAAGCAAGCCACCCAGCCACTGACAAAGGCCTTGGCGATGGTGTCTGCTCTAGTGTTGGGAATCTGGACGGCTCCTGGCCACCGTGTATACCAATCTATGCAGGTGAGCAAATAGGTTGATCTTTGAGATGGTGATAGGGACCCCACTATGTCCGTGAGCACATGCTTAAAACATGCGTTAAGCAGCGGGAATGACTGAAGCAGCACACTTATGTGTCAGTCTATGCACATTGGCACTAAACAAATCTGCAAGTCCTGAGATGAACATCGGCATTGATTGTGGGTCAGGCGTAATGCTCAAGAGCCGCTGCATTGCTCGGATGCCAGGGTGGCTTGAATTGTGAAGGAGGTGAAACAGTCAGTGCACTTGTAATTAGATTGTACATATGTTCGGGGAATGTTACATGTGCTGCTGTTAATGAAATATGCATGCAGAGTTGGACAAGCTGCAATAATGACGACTTTGAAAAGCAGTCAAACCAAAAACCTTGTACCAAGAATAATTCAGATCTCTATTATGCTTTGAATATATGTGAGACTCCCCAGATCATTTCCTTTATGCATGTTCCTTCGTCCCAGTTTGAGTGTTGAGCATGTCGGGTAATGCTACAATGATCACAATGTGGAAATATACTCAAGTCATTAAAAAAAAAGTATATTCATTCACAAAAAAATCAAGTCGCAAAGTCAGGATTTCCTCGGAACACTTTAAGATTTAGACCTACTTTGGTTCCAAAGCGGCCACGCTTTGCTGTGGCCGCTTTGGAACCAAGGTAGAGAGAGTAGTGCGGCTGCGTCTCTGCTCTGCTCTCTGCACCTTGGTTCTAGGAGCGCCAACCACGTAGCATCACGGTAGGCTCCAATGATACTTGCCGCACGCTCAGATATTCCCTCTCATACAGTTCGCGATAGTACCATCTCAAACAGCACAACACAGCAGGGCCGCACAGGCACAGAAGCCAGCCATACCAAACTGTTCAGTTTGCGGCATTCCTAACTTCCACTCCTGATGGCTCCTCCACGCTGGTGAAGCGGACTGGCTGGGGCCGGTTCTTGTCGTCGCTCCGCACCGTGTTGAGCCAGTTCTTCTCACAGCGATCATTTAGCTGCTCACATATGTTGTGGAGCACACAGCACGCGCGAACAATGGTGTTCACACTCTCGATGTCCGATTCCAGTCCCTTGTGAAGGATTCGAAACCGCGCCTTGAGCCGACCAAATGCGTTCTCTACGACTCTCCTGGCACTGGAGAGACGGTAGTTAAAAGCCTGTGTGGGGGACCCAGCACTACCAGGCTGCGGGAAGGGTTTCATCATGTGGCACTGCAGAGGGAAAGCCTGATCTGCGAGAAGGACAGGGCCAACAGAGATCCCTTCAAAGGTTTCGGCTTCTGACTGAAACAGATCGCCAGCCAGGACGCCCGGAAGCCGTGAGCGCTGGAATACAGCTGAGTCATGATTCCTCCCAGGTGATCCAACGTTTGTGTACAGGAACCTGTATGCGTGGTCGGCTACGGCCAAAAGAATGGTGGAATACCACCCCTTATAATTATAATAGTCTGAGGCATGATCCTTCGGAGGGCACACCTCGAGGTGGCAGCCGTCCAAGGCGCCCACCCCTTGAGGGAAGCCTGCAACTGCTGCAAATTGGCGCAGGTGTTCAGCCTAGTCATTGGGTCGAGGGAACTTGACGAACCGTGGTTCAATGCGCTGCACCAGAACTTCACAAAATTCTCTGAAAATTATGTTGACGGATGACCGGCTGACGCCGAAAAGATTTGCGACAGTTCTGTCTTCTGCCGAGGTCGCCAGGCGATACAAGGCAATAGCCACACGCTTCTCCAGAGGGATAGCTTGACGCATGTTGGTGTTGTTTCGTCTCATACACTCGCATACGCTTACTACGTACCGGAAGGTGCTGCGGTCTAGGCGGAAGTTCTCCCTAAACGTGCTCTCAGGAAAGTACGGGAGCGTTGTCTCGTACCAAGACCTGGCACGGGGATACGCCCACACATGCCGCTCGCGGGAGCAGAGTCGCGCAGCCGCTAGCACAAGCCGGTTGCGCCGTCTCTCAGCGCGTTTCTGCTCAGAGAGCAGTTCGTCGATCTCGGCGAGTACACTTTGCTCCAGCATACGTCGCCGTTGAAGCACGGCTTGATGAGCGGCGAACATCGACCAGAAGTTGCATTCGTCCTCATCGTCCAGCACAGGATTGTTGAGAGTGCTCAACGCCATTCCACGTTACGGCGTGCAGATGCAAACCTCACTGACGGAGGGGAATACAATACACAGCAACGTGGCTCCGACGAAGATACGAAGCACGTGAGACCAAAGCGACAGAAACAAAGCCGGTCAATGGTCAACCTGAGCTACCCTACCTGAGCAAACCGGAAGCCGGAAGCGATGGATTGTTTCGGCTGTCGTGTCGGCTAACCAATTTAAAGCAGTCGATCACTACCAGTGTTTGTATTTTACCGAAAGCTGAACAGCTAAACGAACATATTTGACCACGAACTGTCTTAAATAACCACAAACTGATTATAACTTGAATCAACTTTTGAAACTAATGTTTTCTTTTTAAAGTTCAGTCGCATAAATCATGAGTATATCTTCGCCTGGACGGCAACCACGTGATCGTCCACATAGGCTGACTGAGAAGAGGACTTCCGTGTAACACACGCGCACCGCGGTTACCGGTAACTGCAGTTAGCGCCCGTAACCATAGTTTGCCGTAACTGCAGTTAAGGGTGCCCGTGTAACTGGGTATTACTCGTGTTGTTGTATATCTATCTCTCCAATTCGTACTGATCGAAGATACAGTTTTCTGAAACACTGAGCTTGGCTACGACGGAAACTGTCCCCTCTCCTCACTAAGCTTTTTAGAATAGTCTTTACTGACACCTAAGATCCTTGTCTGAAAGGTGTCCTTGAAATTACCTCGGCATACTGAATTAGTGAAAAAGCTAATGCACAACAAGCATATGGTTATTAGCAGAGTCCTGCATATCCACTAATTATCTGCAGAACATCAGTGTATATCCGTAGTCAACTGGCGGATTGTGGATCGGATGTTACTATCCGCTGGACCAGATATATATTTTTTCTTTCTAGGCGGCCCATAAATATGTGCAACCACTAGCCTTCGACGGATTGGCGGAATAGCATGTGCTACATCTTGGCACATATTGTTGATTGGCTAGGACAGGGCCATAACCAGGGGGGGGGGACGGGTTAGGTTAGGTTAGGTTAGGTTAGGTTAGGTTAGGTTAGGTTAGGAGAGGAGAGATAGCCAAGAGGAGCGCTGCCCTAGGTAGGAACATGTGGTGACGTTATGTTCCACTTTTGGCGCGCACGTTTAAAAGCTGTAAACTATAACAAGTCGAGTGCCGTAAATAATGTGCAAAACAATATTTTCTTGCGCAAAATTTATTATGTCATATTTGTAACTTTTTTAGGTTAAATCTCTTTTTCCTTTTCAGTGTCTCTTGGCACAGTTGCAGTTATGTGTAAGTCTTTGTTTGATTTTGATTTCTTCAATTTCTAATGGTTTTGTAGCCGGAATAGACCAATTTCACCATCCAATTTGGTTACACTGCCGCAATGCACCAAGGCAACTTCAGTTTCTGCATTTGCAACAATCTCATTGGAGCTCTGCATGTGCAGAGCACGAGACGGCACGAACCGTCTCTTTTACTGCCTCTTGTGGATGAAAGTAATAGCGGCTTCACGCATGCATCGGACGCTTGGTGATATCGGTCTATTATGAAGCTCATAGTCGGACGGGAAAAATGTGTCACAGTGGCAGAGCACTATGTCGAAAAATAGTAAAAGAACCTACTTTCACATAATTTCTCACTATTTTTTGGTACTAAAATCAGCCCAAATACTTAATGGACACCCCTCGCATGAAAGGAATCTTTTTGTTTGTATGAGTGTGTTGTAACCAGAAAGCAAAACCCAATTCTGAATCCATGACAATAAAGAAATTATGTTTTTCTTCTATTGCAGAATTGTATTGTAGCATCCTGTCAAATGCTCCCAGACATTACAATCCTGGAGCATATAGATAATAAGAGGGCAAATAAAATCACGAAGCTTCAATCAAAGATTATTTCTTGGCGCATCATAGCCTTATACTTAATTTCAGCTTAAGTACAGACGCAGCCGATACTACGAGCTGATGGGACCAATCAGACAGCGTCAAAGGCACACAGTCACTCTGTTCGCCATTTTTCTGTGAGTGTTCAATCGTCGCTAAACCAATCATAAGCAGAAGAAGCCCAGTGACTTGCACTTTTGACGCTGTTTTATTGGTCCCTTTAGCTCATAGCATATGCTGCGTCTGGACTCAAGCTGGAACGAAGTATAGTAGTTGCTGTTGCGCCACAAAGCTCCAATCTACTACTAAAGTCTCGAGTCTTTTTTCAGCCATGCGAGATTCTTCTTCACACTGCCATTGTATGGAGCATTACGTTTTTTTCCCCCTTTGTTCGTAGTGTGGTGGGCGTAGCAGTGTAGTGTTGTGGTGGGTGCCGTACGTAGCATGCGGTCGGCGAAAGTCTTGTGGGAGGGCCGTGTTTAACCAAGCGTGTCAATAAAGTTTAGTCAGCTACCTTTGAGACGTATTGTGTTGGCCTCCTTTCCCGGTCGGCCATTTCATTCTTACACTATATGACCTCGATAAGTTCTTCAACACAACACAAGACCTCGTGTTGCTTTGTCCTTCCTTCTCGCCAGTCTCGAGGTTTTGTCTAAAATGTTGGCCTCGATGTTCTTCAAGACCTGAACAATAGCGTGACCTCGAAGTTAAGGAGTAAGGCCCCTGGTCATACATAAAAGGAGCTGCGCATCGTGGCATGGCATCAATATCTTTCCGGAAACAGCGCAGATTTCAGATTCAGGTGAGACCATATTTCTCTTTTTTTATGTCATCTCCAAAGAAAGTTTTTTGGCATAGAGTGTAATGAGTATTTTTTTTTCTGACCAAATGTTAGTTTAGGAATAATAAGATCCATCTGGTTATTCCTACTTCTTTATGGACTGCATAATCTAATTCTTGTTGACAGTTTTTTTCTGCTATTTTATTGCTTTTCAATACCTGTCCGATCAACTTTAAAGCGCTTTCGACCCTGGTTCAAAACAATTGGACCATGTGTTTTCTTGTGGAGCGCCCGGAATATATATTTTCCGGCTCTCTAGGCAGCGTATAGCCCCAGGTAGAGTAATAATCTTTTTCTTCCGCTATTCTCCAGCACCACCAAGGCTCGCAGCACCCTAAAAGAGTTCCAGGACCTCATAGACGACTACTTCAGCGGGGAACGCGGCGATCGTCACCCTCTTCGAAAGAAGCGCGTGGAAAACGCACTGCAGCTGTCCCTACTCATCGAAGTCGAGAGCCCGAACCTTTGAAGCGCTTTCGACCCTGGTTCAAAACAATCAGACCATGTGTTTTCTTGTGGAGCGCCCGGAATATATATTTCCCGGCTCTCTAGGCAGCGTATAGCCCCAGGTCGAGTAATAATCTTTTTCTTTCACTATTCTCCAGCACCACCATAGCTCACAGCACTCTACGAGAGTTCCAGGACCTCATAGACGACTACTTCAGCGGGGAGCACGGCGACCGTCACCTTCTTCGAAAGAAGCGCATGGAAGACGCACTGCAGCTGGCCCGACTCATCGAAGTGGAGAGCCCGGACCTTTGAAGCGCTTTCGACCCTGGTTCAAACAATCAGACCATGTATTTTCTTGTGGAGTGCCTGGAATATATATTTCCCGGCTCTCTAGGCAGCGTATAGCGCCAGGTCGAGTAATAATCTTTTTCTTTCGCTATTCTCTAGCACCACCATGGCTCGCAGCACCCTACGAGAGTTCCAGGACCTCATAGACTACTTCAGCGGGGAACGTGGCGACCGTCACCCTCTTCTAAAGAAGCGCGTGGAAGACGCACTGCCGCTGGGTAACAGCTGGGTAACAGTACATTTGGCTCGTCTGATTGACCACCACAAAAGATGGTAAAAAGCCGAGATTTTTAATGGTGAATAAATCAACAAATGAAACCCTGCTTTCGCGTGTCTTCTCCTGGTGCCCTTCCCTCACTGCATTCAAATTCGTATTTTGCCATTTGATGGGATGGATTAAAAAAAAATTTACTTGGTCTAACTCAATATGGTAATCAGCAAAATACAAATGTAGCATATGTGTAATGATGCATACCATTTTTTTAACTGTAACGGAAGCGAGTTCCTTTTTCACATAAGAAACTTGTAACGGGAACACGTTCCAAAAATTAGAAAGTAAACTTTCATTCCTTTTTTTTTTTTTTTGTGGAGCATGTACAACACTGCTTAGGGGTTGTGCTGCTCTATCTGAAAAAAAAAATGTTTGTGACTGCACTAGAAATTCAGAGGCAGCCAGGTGCAAGAAATTACTTCGGATTCTCAGCACTGTTTTGTCAGACCAAACCTCTTTTTCACTTGTGGGGCTTTTTAAAGCAAGTGCGGTGCAAATGTGACTGTCTCCACTGCAGGAAGACATGGTCCCTGAGCACAAGCTGGACTTAAGTAAGCCCGGGATGCCAAGCAGGCGTCTTCCTGATGAGCCCAACCATGTAGCCCATGACTACAACCCCGACGACAGGGCCCTTTTCCAGGAGATCCTGAGACTGAACCCAAAAGCGGTCGTCCTCAGGTCTATACCTAAGATGAACGACGAGGACACAGATTCGGCATCTGAAGACGAGCAGTCTTACACATTCTTAAGGCAAGTTAAATGCTTTTTCCCGTTATTAAATATCTCATCAACAGAACTAGCTTACAATAGCTATGTTTCCTGAGGCATAAGACAACATGGACTATGATGAGCAATTTTACAATTTATAACACACTTGGGTTTTTTTAAACATCTGCATCCTACTGGGCCGAGCAGTCGCGTCTTCGGCCAGTGTGCTTTCTCTTGTGCTAGCTTCAACATTTACATAACAATCAACGATACTTCATAAGTGCAAGAGTTATCCAACAAAATTTGACTGTGGCAGTGCTTGTTGCCTCATTGTGAAAGACATTGCCCATCAGGGACAGAAGTTGACGTTCCACATATTCATATATGAGGGACACCCATTTTCCAGTTCTTTTTGTAATGTTTCAAAATTATTTTTCTGAAGGAAAGTGAGACGGACGGGGGCAACGCGAGCTTCACTGCCATTCGACATGTTTGTGCCCATCAACGAAATCGAGCGG